ATATAGTTAGGCAAACATTATTAGATAAAGGTCAGAAGGGGGTGGTTGGGGGGGGGGGAAGGGGTGTGCGGGGGGAGGGGGATTAGGGTGCGGGGAGAGAGTTGGGTGTTGGGGGATGAAGAGGAGATAATCAATTTGGATTGCCACTTATGGACCTCGTTTTTTATTTTTTGGTAATTATGAATTTGGGAAAAATTATGTACTCCTTCCGTCTCAAATTACTAAAAATAGTTGTCTCAAATTATTTGTCATTTTAAAAGTTTAAGATAAAATTGATTAGTTTTTTCCTTTTTCACCCTTAGTAATAATTGTTCTTGAAGATAGAGATAACACATAAATAGAATAAATATTCAATAAAGAGAGATTATATCTTAAGACATAAATAAGGGTAGAATAGTCTAATCCCTTTCCTAATTAATATTTTTTAATGAGCATGTAAAAAAGAAACACGACACATAACATGAGACGGAGGGAGTAGTTACTCACCCCTATAACAGACCTCATCTTTTAAACTGCTAACATCTACCTTCACCTCACCCCTATTATATTTCTATGTCAATATCACTAAGGGTAATAGTTCAATTGTTGCAACTATCCATCTATCTTGATATTACAACTTCCTTTGCAATCAGGGGCGGATCTATCATGTTTTATATGGTTCACGTGAACCCGTGGTCCTCGGGTTAAAGTATAGATATGATGTACATAATTTGGCAAAAATAAATATATATACTTGATGGAACCCATGGTTACAAGAGACCAAGTGGTGCATTGGTTTTGGTCTTTTATTTCCAATAGCTTAAGGTCACGGGATCAAATCACCTACCAACCTTTTGGTTTAAATTTTTTTTTTTAAAAGTAATAGTGAACCCATCCTCCGGAAATCTTGGATCCGCCTCTGTTTGCAATGGATAGAAAACTGATTCATGCTTCTCACTTCTTCATATGTATATCTAGTTGCTTCAAACACTTCTCTTGCCCACCCACCCATAGGCGGAGCTAGGATATAAACCGTTATCCTTTTAAGTTACTGATTTCTAAATAAATAATCCGTATAATTTCAATGAATATCTTAAGAGAAGTATATAATTTTAAAAAAGTTACTGAGTTCGTCTGGACCCACATTTCACATTCTGGTTCCGCCCCTGTCCTCACCATTGTGTTGGATTAATCTCCCACATCAGATTGTCTTTGATATAATAGGTACGGATCCATTGGATCCACAGCCTATCCATTGGACCTCGTTTTCCTTTTTTGTATTTCTTGATTTTTAAGCAAATTTTTTGCCTAAAGAAAATATTCTTCATAACACGTGGATTAACCAAATATTTTTCATAACATGTGGATTAATCAAACGTGAAAAAATTAAAATACCTAAATGTTTTTATCCAAACCAAACACACCCTTAGTTTCAGACTTTCAACATGTTTTTGTGTTCCTTGCCTGGTCTTTTATATTTATTATAGTCTACAATCATGTTGTTACGGCAAAGGATGAACAAAAATCTAGAGCTCTGATTGAGACGATGAAACAACTAGAAATTACATGTTTGACCAAGATTTCAAAATCTACTTATTTTAAAAAGTATTTTGTTAGAAGTACTTGTCGAAAAATACTTTGAAAGAGTAAAAATTTATGTTTGGCTAATGCAATTGTAGTATATCGAGATTCTCTGTGTGTCCAAGCTTCTTAAAAAGGAACACAACGTTGAATTTGTAACCGCACCTAAATGAGACAAACACTGTTAAAAAAAATATATATGTCTGATTATACATGGTATTGCAAATTAAACTATTCTGGGTCTTTAAGATTTGAGGAAATTATGTTGTATAATTATGCGACGTTCATTATATGAATCTCTTTTGTATTTGTATTTATTCAGATCAGTTTCCCTCGAAAGAATTATTATGATTAAACAATTTTTTCTATATCTGTGAACCAATCATTAGGTGATTTTTTCTATGTTTATCTAATCATGGTAGATAAAATTACGGGTACCTATGCTAGTGGGAGATAGTAGATATTCCATGAAATTAAAGTTCCATTTAACTGTGACTAGTGTTTTTTATTGTGTTAGCACGTACACAAATTTCTAGAATGCAACAACAATAGCAACAACGCATATAATATTCAGAAATCAGAATGATGAGATTTTTATCATATTTTTCTTTTGTTTTTTTATGATTATTCTCGGTGGTCTTTTTCCTATTTTGTAAAAAGAGATTCAATGACCAAAGAAATAAAAAAAAAAAGAAGTAAAAGACATAATCGAATATGATAGAGGTATCCAATGAGAACTCATGTTAATTTATTGGGTAAAGATCACTTTTAGATCGACGTCGAATTATTTATACCCGATAATCACAAAAGTATATAAAATTTATATATCTTTTGTATATAACAATTTAGGGGTGTGCCTAAAAATCCGAACATGAAAACTATAACATGCTTTAGTTGGACAGCTATACTGGAGGCCTGCTTGAGACAAGATAACCTTTGTAAAAGAGGTTTTCCTTTGTGCAACACGTGTTTCATGTGTCAGCAAGAACCTGAATACGCCCACCATCTTCTTCTCCATTGTAAAGTTGCTAGAGATGTCCTGAATATCTTTTGGTGTATTTTAGATGCTTTGATGCAATCGCCAAATAGTCTCCTAAAAGTAAGATGTCTTTCATATCTTTTTTGCTGGTCTAACTTATAGTATGTACTTCAGTGAACAACTCGTAGATTTTTTAGCTCCTGAAACTGCATCTAAAAGATTTAACAGTGCAACATTCAAGAGCAGTATCAACACTAATACATGTTTTCTTATTCTGTATGATTTCCCGTAATAGGTGTTTTCTCTTCTTCTAGAGTGAAACTGCCTGGCTACTAATATTCAGGATAATAAGGACGCCTTCAAGATCTGCTAGCGCATTGATAGAGACTACATAAATAGGACTTTACCCAGAGGCGTATGCAGTGTTGAAGCTATGGGTTCAATTGAACCCATAGCTTTCGCTCATACCCTGTATTTTTGCCCAAAATATCATTAAATTTGTATAAATAATAAATATTGAACTCATTAAATTAGATGAGTTATAGCAGCATTGCGAATCTGAACCCATAAAGTTTAAATCATGGATCCGCCTTTGACTTTACCAACATGTAAAAAGGCAAAAAATGATGTAAAAATCCAAGCTAGTATTGTGACGTTAGTATATTGAAATTTCGATGAAAACATGAGTCCAAATTTACATCTAGAGAGTATCCTCTATATAGTTTTATTTCATCAAATATAGCTCACTAGTTTAAGAAAGTGTAGGTCTACAAAAGAGAAAATTTGAACGAAATGATGAAATACCTAAACCAGCTGAATTCCCAGGTTGGTCTGCACGAGAACCTGAAGATATAAGAATCTGCCATCCTACACAAGCATTTCAACGCATTAGTAATTGGAACATAAGCTAAAAATTCTTATGAAAATAAGATTAACTGAAAGTGAAAATCGAAGTTCATACTTCAACAAGCACCTCTCTTGTCAAGAAAGCAATGAGATGGGAAAGTATCCTCTAGTGAAGAAATGTAGAGCACAATCAGGAGGGTAGTTGCTTCTTACCATTTTAGTGATCTGGATCCATATTAGGCTTCTTAAGTTGAAGACATCTCTTCACGATCAATGAAGATTGAAGGTATGTGTTTAATCTTAGACCAATCCTTACCTTGAAGTTTAAGACAACGTTTCTTTAATAGTGGACAATCTGCTATAGCAAGAGATTCCAGCTTTGATGGAAGTTTTCCCTTAGGAAATGACTGAAGCTCATAACAATAAGAAATATACAAAATTTTGAGAGCGCTAAGAAGTGGAAGCATGGGGATTGCAACAAGTTTAGCGCAGCATATCACTGATAACTGAAGGAGACATGGAAAATCCCCATTCTTCACGCCTGTCCATTTTTCAAGTTTTGGCATTCCATCAATTTTTAATTTTTCAAGCTTTGGAAATGCAGGTCCTACTCGACTCCCCCCATATCTACAAAAGCGACTATCAATAGATCTTACCCCATACATGTGAATAAGGAAAAGAGACTTAAGTGACTGTAAACCTCCAAGGAATGGCAAGTAGATACAACTTTTACACTCCAAGAGAGTGATACTCACAATGTTGGACAAATACGAATTACTCATCCACGTAGGAAATCTAGAGCCACTATAGAAAGATATCTGTAACTCTTTGAGGCGCAAATGAGGCTGAAGATATTCCAATATCTCATCAACTAAAAAAGGGAAATCATCTTGATGATGTTCCCAATGCAACTCCAACTTATCGAGATGTTTCTTGTTTAACTCAACTTCTCTAGCCTCTTCGACACTTGAAATATTCTCAAGTCTTGAAATCCGAATTGACCCACAAAGATCAGTGAGCTGCCTCAACTCTCTCACATCATAGCCTTCCCCCTTGCCAAGAATGAACCCTTTAAGTGTCTGAAGGCGGGTCAGATTACCCATTCCAACTGGCATTGACCTTAGTCGGCCAACAATGTTAAGATCCAAATGGCGCAAATTAACCAACTTGCTAGTACAGTATGGTAATCTTGAAAAATTAGAACATCGCTCCAACTTTAGTATTTGTAAATACCAAAGCCTACCTATAGATTCAGGAAGGAGTCTAATAGGTGTGTCGGAGAGATCAAGATAACGCAAAGATGACAAATAGCTAATGGAATTAGGCAACTCAGTTATGTTAGTCGCATGCAAGTCCAAAGTTCTCAAGTGTTGCATCTTGAGAAAGAGATGATCAGGTACTCGCTTGATGGAATGTTCATGGCGATAGGACAATACAAGGGTGCGCAACTGGTTGAATTTTTGGAGAGTTTTGAGAGTGTCTTTTCCAAAGCTCTCAGAGAGTAAGAATAAATTTCGGACTTCTGCAATACCACTCAATTGTGCTTCTTGTACCCATGAGTTTGAACATGAGGACCCAACTTTGTATTTTATTCTTCCGTTGGCCATATCAAATCTTGATTGCACTATACGATTCACCTTAAGCATGTCCTCGAAATACTTGTTAGCCACAATCTCCACTCCCCGCCCATACTCAAAATCAAAGAACCCTTGTGCAATCCATAATCGGATCACCTTATCCTTGTCAAACTCAATATTAGAAGGCCAGAGAGAATAATAATCAATGAGGCGATCCGGAAGCTCCTCCAACTTCAAATGTTGGGATATGATGGTCGCTTCAAAATTGTTGCTCAATCCCTCGTTACATGTCATCGCCCTAATTATCTTGACAAGTATGTATACTCCACGAAATATTCTGCAAATCTGCATAAGATGACAAATTTATATCATAATCGTACTACCACGATAACAAAATTTGCAAGAAAACATAGAACATGATGTCGAACCCAAGGGAGAGAAAATCAATAGCAAAAGGGTCAAGTAGTTTCACTTAATTGTGATAGCCAGTCCTCTACTCACATTCTATCCCAACAAATGATACAAGAGCAACATCTCAAAATGCATGTGGAAGGACTAAATAATTTGTTTAATGAGAAAAGGAATATTTTGATGAGAAACAGAGAAGTATTTGTATGATTACTGGTCCTCATAAAGAAAGAACTAGAATTAGGGGGAAAAGGTTAATATGAGCGAACAGGGCTGCTGAATCTATCTCCTTCCAATTACTTGATGTCCATGGACAAAAGCCCTATGGTCGAGCTAGACAACCAATTCTCTCAAACTGATTAGTTTACCCTGGAACTGATGGTGCAACAAGAGACTTTTTTCTGAATTAAACTCGGAGTGAAATGCACTTCAGCTTTTAAAGATTATCCAAATGACACTCCAGCACCAAATATCAAAAAGTTCATTATTTTTTAGAACAATCTCTAGCACCAAATAACGTAAAAAGTTTGTCCAAAATATCATAATGTTATTATATGCCACCGTTTCTCAAACAATAACTTGTTTAATTTCAATTAATTTTTTGCACATCTTTCAAACACAAAATTCAACTTTTCACATAATTAATACTCTTTCTGTTTCAATTTAAATGATACACTTTCCTGATTTAGAATGACACATTTCTATTTAGAAATAATTTAACTTTAAACTTTTCATTTTACCTACTTTATCCTTAATGAAAAGCTTTTATAGCCACACCAATATCATCGCCCCACTAAGCTTTTGCCCCTCAGGCTTTTAGCACCACATGTTTCAAAAGTCTTCTTCTTTTTTCTTAAACTTTGTGCTTGATCAAACTACATCATCTAAATTGAAACGGAGGGAGTATTATATAGAAAAAAGAAAAAACATAAAACAATAACCTTCATTGTATGCAGGTGTTGCGGGAGAAGAGGAAGAGGTTTCAAACAATTACATCCCAAGCATGTATGGCAATTGTGCCCTCCCAGGAATGTTGAAGAATCATCATCCTGAATTAAACTCGTGTTAAAAGTTTATCCAAATAACACGCTACCACCAAATATCATAAAGTTTACAGTACAAAATAACGTAAAGCTTATCCAAAATATCATAACTTTATTATAAGTCACAACTTCTAAAGTCTGAACTATTTTGCATATTACTGAATGCTAGCAGTAAAATAAGCCCAACTCTAACTAGCTTCTTACAACTAATAGCTCAATTATAAGCAAGGTAATGGGCTCCGAGATATTTTATTTGGGTTTAAGTATCTCACATATGGAACAATAGATGAAACATAGATTAACCTCACTATATGGATATAAATAAAAAGGGGCAGCCTTGTGCACTAAGCTCCCTCTATGCGCACAATATTATATGGATATGATCCAATTAAAAGTAACATTTGGTTTACACAATATTATAAAAAGCCAAGAAGGAAAGCAATATCAAGTTTTACAAAGCCATAATCCTCATAGTAGTAAATTGTCAATAGTTGCAAGAGAAATTAGATGAAAATAAGATCAACTAAGACAAATTATCTAAAAAGATTACCACAATATTTCGTTAGTATTGTCATGGGCGGCTTTCCACCAATGCCCCATGACCCCTTGGGCGCGCCCAGTGGCGTCCTAGCAAGCCTCCCAATGCCTAGCGCCACGGACGGCCCCGTGGTCTTGGCCGCGCCAAGTGACAAGCGCGCAGATGCCTCTGTCGCCCCACCGATATCCCTCGCCAGCGCCAAGCCGCAGGCAGATGCCAACAGCGCCGCGCGCGCAGACAACGCCGTGCGCGCAGACCGTGATGCCAAAAACACTGCTGCTGACAACGGACCTGCTGCTGCCTTATAGAAAACTAAGTCATTTTCATTGTAAATATAGAGTAGTTTTATTTCATGTACTTCCATTATGTTTCTCTAGCTTAGTCAAGTCTAGCCTTGTAGCTTTGGATTATTTTTTTTAAGAATTATTAGGGGGGATCAAGCAATCAAAACTTTCTAGCAAGCAAGCAATTCTCTGTACTGGTGTCTCTCCCCCTCGACACCGCGTTGCTTTTCTGTAATAGCTTTCATTAATGCAATCAAGCTTTCTTTCATTCTGAATTCTCATTTCTGTTCTCTCAATTGCTCTTGACATTGGTGTTCCCGTACGGCACTGACAATCTCGCCTAGCGTACGGAGAGGACCTCAGTTGGCGAACAGCAACTGTACTGACATCAGTTGCTTAGCCTTACGTCGCCCTTCCAAGGAATCTCAGGAAGGCGCCGCGTAACAGTTGGTATTAGAGCCTAGGCTCGACATCGGACGAGGGAACGTATTGACATTACCACCATTTCTGACCATGGTGAATCATGGCGACCGCATTGCGGCTCTCGAAGGGACTGTTGAGGTATTACGGCCTATTGTGGATACGGTGCCTGAACTAAGAACCAGCCTAGTGCAAAGGTTGGACGACCTGGACCGCAGGGTGCTCCAGGCCGAAGTTGACATTGAAAACATCAGCCACAGAGGCAGCCGAAATTTTTGAGAAATTCGAGGGGCTCCAGCAGGAGTGCACCGAGGATTTAGCCCACAGGGCGCAAGAGGCAGACAGGGTGACTGCCATGCAACAAACTATTGACAAATTGACAGACCAGCTCAATGTTGTCAACGCTGCTTTACAGGGCCTACTCCGAGGAGGTGGAAACCAAATCGGGGGCGCTGTGAACTCCGTTTCCGCGACACAGAAACTGAAAATTCCTGAACCAAAGCCATACAGTGGAGCTAGGAATGCCAAGGAGGTGGAGAACTTCATCTTTGACGTCGAACAGTATTTCGATGCTGTTGGGGGCCTAGAAGAAGCTAAGAAGGTAGCAATTGCTGACATGTATCTTCAAGGCGATGCTAAGCTCTGGTGGCGAGTGAAGTACGAAGCCATCAAGGCCGGTGAAGATACTCTCGAGACATGGGCAGAACTGAAGGCAGCCATACGCCTACAGTTCTTCCCCGAAAATGTTGAATACAATGCAGTGCGAGACTACGTGCGGGAATTCTCCGCGCTCATGCTAAGCATACGCAACATGGGGGACAAAGACAAGCTTTTCACCTTCCTGGAAGGGTTGAAACCTTATGCCCGTGTGGAGCTACAAAGATAGAGGGTAGATACCCTTCCCAAGGCGATCCAAGCAGCTGAATGCCTTGGGGACTAACAAATGGAAGCTCGGAAGGACAGGCCCCAGCCGCCTGCCCGAGCGGGATTCAAAGGGGGCCAGCCTAGCAATGGTGGCCCTAGCAAAAATGGGGGAGATCGGAACTCAAACAAATCTAGAGCTCCTTCCTCCGGCAGCAACAGTACTGCGTCAAACAACAATGACCAGGGGAGAAAGCCTCGTTCAGGATGCCGTCATTGCGGCGGTCCACATTGGAACAATGAGTGCCCACATGCACAGATGAATGCCCATCAGGCTATTGATGATGGGACTGATGACGACTCAGACGATGCAGACCAGACTGAACCAGTAGGTGCCTTCAATGCAATTGTTGGTTCCATTTCTGAGGCAGTAGCGGAGACCAGTGCTGGTATTCGTAAGAAAAAGGACCCATGTTCCGTCACCAAGAAAGGGAAAAAGAAGGCGAATGAAGAGACTCCTCTTAAACAAGAGAGGACCTTAATGTTCGTCGAGATGAAGGTGAATGGCAAGCCCAGTCGGGCTATGATAGACACGGGTGCTACCCACAACTACTTAGCCTCGACTCAGGTGGAGCGCCTTGGACTAGTTGTAGGGAAAGGTAAAGGTAGTGTCAAGGCTATCAACTCACCTCCCCAGCCAGTGGGTGGAATAGCTAAAGAAGTACCGGTGAAGCTTGGCCCTTACGAAGGAAAATTCAACCTGCGAGTGGTGATCATAGATGACTTCGAGCTGATTGTTGGGCTGGAATTCCTAAGGCAAACCAACACCATGCCTGCCCATGAAGATGGCCGTTGAGAACATCTCGGCCTTGCAGTTGAAGAAGGGGGTCAAAAGGAATGAACCTACGTTCCTGGCAACCCTATGCATTGAAGATATAGAACGCTCCTTGGGACCCATTCCTGAACCCGTGAAGGAGTTACTACTGGAGTTTGAAGATGTCATGCCACAAGACATGCCAAAGCGGCTCCCGCTTAGGCGCACTGTGGACCATGAAATTGAGTTGGTGCCGGGCACGAAGCCACCTGCTCGGGCGCCTTACAGAATGTCCCAACCCGAACTCACCGAGCTTCGGAGACAATTGACGGAAATGCTAGATACAGGGATCATTGTACCCTCCAAGTCCCCATATGGGTCCCCTGTTCTATTCCAAAAGAAACATGATGGCAGCCTGCGACTCTGTGTGGATTATCGAGCTCTAAACAAAATCACCGTGAAGAACAAGTACCCTATTCCTCTAATGGCAGACTTGTTTGATAGACTTGGTGGCGCAACGGTGTTCACCAAGATAGATCTGAAGACAGGTTATTGGCAAGTTCGGATTGCAGAGGGTGATGAACACAAGACGACATGTGTGACAAGATATGGGTCGTACGACTTCCTGGTCATGCCGTTCGGCTTGACCAACGCCCCAGCTACATTTTGCACTCTCATGAACCAAGTCTTCCGAGAGTACATCGACGAATTTGTGGTGGTCTACTTAGATGACATTGTGGTATATAGCCAGACATTGGAAGAACACCTAGTACACTTGCGGAAGGTCCTAGCTCGGTTGCGGGAGCATGAACTATATGCAAAGTTATCCAAGTGCTCCTTTGCTCAGAAGCAAATTGACTTCCTCGGACATGTCATCGAGGAAGGACGCATCAAGATGGACCAACAGAAAATCCAGGCCATCACAGATTGGCCGCCACCTAAGGATGTCCACGCCTTGAGGGCGTTCCTTGGCCTATGCAACTTCTACCGGCGGTTTGTGAAGAACTACTCACTTATCGCAGTGCCATTGACAGAACTCCTCAAGAAGGTCACACCTTGGGATTGGGGACCAAGGAGAGCAGAGGCCTTCAACGCATTAAAAGCGGCTATGTCTAGTAGCCCCGTCTTGGCCCTCCCTGATTTGGCCAAGCCGTTCGAGGTACAAACGGATGCATCTGACTATGCCCTCGGCGGAGTCTTGCTACAAGAAGGGCACCCTGTAGCGTACGAGAGTCGGAAGCTGAAGGATGCAGAGCGGCGCTATGCCGCCCATGAGAAAGAATTATTGGTTGTTGTCCACTGCTTGCGCCATTGGAGTCACTATCTGCCGGGAACCCCGTTCGTGGTCAAGACAGACAACACAGCTGTCAGCCATTTCATGACCCAACCAAAGCTGAACGGTCGACAGGCCAGGTGGCAGGAACTCCTAGCTGAATTCCACTTCAACTTGGAGTATCGCAGTGGAAAGACCAACCATGTTGCTGATGCGCTCAGTCGGAGAGCTGATCTAGCATCGGTGTGCCTACTCGCCACCCTAAGGGGGAGCGAAGTAGCCACATCCATCAAGGACCAGATACAGGATCTACTCATCAAAGATCCTGCTGCTCAGTATTTGGTTGATTTGGTAGGACAGGGCAAGACTCGCCAGTTCTACATGGAAGATGGTTTTCTGAAAGTGAAAGGGAACCGACTTTATGTTCCTAAAGGAGGAGATTTGCGAAGGACTCTTCTAGCGGAATGTCATGATACTCTGTGGGCCGGCCATCCCGGTGAAGAACGCACCATGGCGTTACTTCGTCGTGCCTATTATTGGCCTCAAATGGCCGATGATGTCACTCAGTATGTGAAGACTTGTCTAATATGCCAGAAGGACAAGTCAGACCGCTTGACACAAGCGGGACTCTTGGAACCACTTGATGTCCCAAAGAGACCTTGGGAAAGCGTTTCCCTGGATTTCATCACCGGATTGCCCAAGGTCGGAGATCTCACAACCATCTTGGTTGTGGTGGACCGGTTTTCCAAGTATGTCACCTTTATTGCAGCCCCACAATATATATCAGCAGAAGATACAGCTCGACTCTTCTTCTCTCATGTCGTCAAATATTG